GTTTAGCACAAAAAAACTCTCTATAATCATGTCACATCAGCAGACTTCTAATAAAAATAATTTTTTAATATATATAACATGCTTAAAATTAAATAGTATTTAATCAATAATAATATTAATATTTAAAAATTGATTAAATTATATATATTATAGTAACAAAAAGCATATGACAAATAACTTGATATGAACCCAAAAACAATTATTATATGTTTAATATTTTAACTTCTTACAGCCCAAATTAAAAATAATCACACGTTTACACTAGAAATTCATAAGATATAATATTATAAGATATGAAGTTCGTCCACACAATAATAAAAAAAAATCTCATTTTCTTTGAAAATACACATAATATATTTTGGAAAACGAATTGCTCCAAAAAAACTTAAATAATATTTAATAGAAACAAAGTTACAAAATAGTAATTTCTAAAACAAAATTGAAAACATTCACAGTTTAGAAAAATCTAAAACATTCGTCTTTTAGAAACATACATAGTGTATACATAACAAATAAATAATTTTTTTTTGAAATTAGCATAACTATATTTCACATATGTGGATACAAAATTGTCTATTATATCTACAAAGCTAAACTTATAAAACTTTATTAATATATTACTTATTACAAAAAATATATGCAATATATTTACAGAAAAATATACTAGCATAATTCTATTTTAAACATTAATATATGACATTCCTATATTTGAAAATGGTATACACATTTTTATGTAAAAGAAATTATCATAAAAAACATCATTAACCATCCACATCAACAAAAAAATATTCTTTACAAACTGGACATGTAAGATAAACTAATATGATTTTTTATTGGGTTTAGAAACTCTTTTAAAAATGATATAATATATATTATTAATTTAATTATAAAAACTCATCAAAATATATGTGTGGTGTAAAAATAAATATAAGTTAAATTACAAACCAAATGCAAATGAATCTTTTATACCTTTTGAGTTTTGAGAAACTCGACATACTTTGTTTAATAAAATAAGTTAGTATAAGATTGTATTTGTATATGTATTACTTGCTTTATTCATCTACACTTCTATAGTTTACAAATGCTTCAGTGACCATATTAAAATTGAGTTTATCAATATGATTGTGATTTTTTATTCTATGTAAATATTATTTTTATTTACGTGAACAATAGTTCTTTTAAGGATTTGTAAGAGTTTTAAACATTGACTGCTGTTTGTATTTGAGACTGCTAATGAAAAAAAAAATTACACGAACACAATTGAAATGAAAAAAAATACAAATTAATTGGAACTATAATCAGATGCTTCAGTTGTAGTCATTTGTTTTATTAAGTGATTTTCTTTTATTTAAAATGAAAAAATTGTTTTAAATTAGAAAACTTATAGTCGTTGAATTCAATTATATATCAAATTTAGTTAAAACAAAATTAATTTTAATAATTTTTTGAAAGTTGTTGTACAAGTTTATATGAAATATTAAGTTTTAGATTAACAGTTAATTTTTACATATATCAAGTTAGTAAATTTTTAAATTAAATCATAATATATTTTTCAAAAAGATTAAAAATATATCAATATATAACCACATCAAAACGATATTGTAAATAAAATATTGTATTTAAAACATTAATCTAAAATTAAAATAATTTATTTTAAATAATAATTATATATATAATATATGCGTAGCGCGAAAACATCCCTAATGACCACATAAATGAATTTTATAATAAAAACAAGTGGTTTTTTTTGGAAAAGAAGAAAAAATAATGTTATAATAATCTATACTAAATAAAAGAAACTATTTGGGCTTCAAAGACTTTTCACATCATTTTTTTTGTGAAAACTCTCTCCTTCTACCATGCTATCTATTGTGTACATAAATAAAGTAATAAATTGATATGTTTCTTTGTAATATATATAGTCTTTTTGGAGAATAGGTTTCTTCTTCACCTAAAAAAAACGTTTATAATACCTCTTTTTTTTGGTAAGTGTTACCCAATCTCAAATCGTAGAATCAATTTTTGTTTGTCTCTTCCCTCGACCATGCATCTGTTGTTAGGAATTCAATCTCAACGTCTTTGGATGTTTTTTAGTGAAAGTGTTCAATTATGTTGGCAACAGATTGCACAAACCGATCTTCAGTTCTTTTTCCTATGCCCATTAACAATTTCGCCAAGCCAGTAAAAAACTGCCCACAAGCTCATCGCAAAAGTGCAATGATTGTTTTCATCATATATATGTTTCTTTTACAGATTGCTATTTTTAAAGAGAATAATCCACCTGAAAGTAATGGTTTCCTATTTTTCTTTGGTATATTGAGAATGAATTTATTCGATTTCTGTTTCTGTTTTTTTTTTTTTTTGTAAAGAATATAGAGAAATGTTGATCATGAATTTGTTTTCGTATTTGTTTTTGATAAAGAATCTAAGTTCGACTCTTTGATAGGATATTTTTATTATTATTTATTTAAAACAATATACATAATTCAGTGTTTTTAAATTTTTACTAAATACCTACAAAATATATTTGTTGTCATTTTTGAAACTTCTATAAATTAATACTCAATTCATTAATATCTCGATAAATTAATATTTTTGGTTAGTTCTAAAATTAGTTTATCAACCAAATAATATATATAAATTAATAATTATTATAAATTAATAATTTTTTTATAAACCTTCAAAGTCCTAACATTATTAATTTATAGAGATTTTACTGTATTTGGTTCTAGTTCAACATTTTCACTAACTTTGTTATTTACAGAATAACTTTGTCTATATTCAAAAAAACTAAATGACATGTACAAATTATTGATTAAGTATACTAATAGTTTAAGAAACAATTTGTAATAGTTCATTTACAATTTGTAATAGTTCACTTTATGTTCAACGGGTGTCTCCTTATCCTTCGTACCAAAATAAAAAATTGTAAGTTTTATAATAAACAAAAATATATATAAGAATTTACTGTATATCAAATTTGTAAAAATAACAGTAAAAAATCTATAAATTAATATTCGATAAATTTATAATCTATAAACTAATAACTTGGTAAATCAATAATTTTGCTTAATCTCAATATTATTAATTTCTACTTATACAAACAAATCTGCGTGTAGGGTAGAACAATCTCTAGTGGATAACTACTACCAAAAATCCGTAAATCTATTGAGTGTTAAATATCTCATGCTTCTTGGTTTTTTGGTTAACACCCCAGTATATGCAGTGACAGCTTTGTGGTGTGGATATGTTATAAAGACAATTTGCATCATGTATATTGTATTGATCGCTTGTATCATTTCACAAGATTTTCTTTATTGCCTAGTTATTGGGTTTTACTCTTGTTATGGTTTTGAAATCCACGTAGACCAATTCATTATGCTGATACAGTGCATTCTCAATACTGAGAATAAGATTTCATCTGTGATATTGAAGAATATGTGGCTTCTCATTGGTTACAGTGAGGTTATATATGGCGTACATCAAATTTTCACTTGCCTCTAGAAAGTTGGCACACCTTTTTTTTCAAATGTAATTTTGCGTAAGCTCATAATATTTCATTCCATAGGTGAATTCCTCTAATGGCAGATCTCATACAAATAAAATGTATCTTAGTCTTACATTTTACTAGATTTAATTCAGGGTTTAGTTTTTTTTTTATAGGTTTTCCTCAGTCTCTAAGATTGAATATTATGTTGGAATAGTACATTTGATATTAATTGAATATTATGTTGGAATAGTACATTTGATATTATGTTGAAAAAATTAGTATATCTTTAATATCAAAATTAAGTAAAAAACATTGTTCCCTATAAAAAATATAAAAAAATAACTTTTAGTTTTGAAATATTTTCCATTTATTCAAAAACAATTCAATCCAGATATGTTAAAATTTATTATAATGTAGAAATTATAAATTATTCAGTTTCTACATATTAAAAAAATACAATATAATTAAAAGAGAGGTAAAAATGATCTATTACTAGAAAGACAAATCTTAGAATTAACTATGAGTATAATCCTTATCATATAAGAGATATGACAGAATTAACTATGAGGATATACTTTATTATTAAATTGATTTTTTAAAACTTATTAAATTATTAAACATATTTATCTCATAAAAACATTATAATAAAAAGTAAAATATTAAACATGTGATCTTAATTTGAATGCATTAATAAATTATGATTAATGCTTTTAAAAGCCATTTAAACTTATTTATCAACCATTCCATATTCAACTTTTTTTTTTTACTTGAGATAGATATGAACAAAAATCCAGCCAGCTGAATATATTTGAAAATTTATTTTCAATTCTATCACCTGTATTAATTTTCTGGTTCAGTCTTTTTCATTAAAAATCTACAAACAAAAATATAAATTAGGTGTATATGTTACGTAATATTTATTTCTTCACATCAAACTATTTTATACTAACATGAATAATAATATAGGTTTGTTATCATTTGAGAACATAATTGGCATATAGTCATATACTACTTATGTTTAGATGAATGCATGCATTTTAATATACTACATAACTATAGAATTGTTATAGAATTGATATATGAAATATAATTGAACAATGAGATAGAAAATATAACTATAAGTTTTAAAGTATAGTAAAAATAATACAATTTTAACATAAAATAAAAGAGAAAATGACATATAGTTGAGAAGTTTAACGTCTATAGAATAACAATATATATAGTAAAATAAGATTGCATTCTGTATAAACATACAAAACTGGATCTTTAGATTGCATTCTATATAAAACATACAAAAGCGGATCTTCACTGTACTAGTAAATACTATAAAAACAAAATAGTATAATAGACATTTTTTGCCCAAAAAAAGTATAATAGACATTTCAAATAATAAAAAGTATTATATTACAAAATACTAACCAATAAAATATAAAAATGGTAAAAAAGGACAATATCATCCAAGAAATTGCTATGTTATAGAATAAATTTTGTTCCTCAATATAGACATTTAATGATATTTTCCTTGCACGTTTGTACCAAGTACCAAGTACCAACAAAGAACGAAGACCACAACAAAAAGAAGAAGAAAAAATTCCAGAATTTAAAAACAAAAATGAGTTCTTCTTCTCCATCCCGCAGTAAGCTTCTGGATCTAAGATCTGTAATCGGACGAAAAGAAGTCTTACGAATCTTGATTCTGTTTCTTGTTTTGACTGCCTCATGTCTGGTTTTATACAAAACCGCATATCCTCTGCAACGACTTTATGTCAACAATCTCACCTCTCTTCTCTCTTCTCCATCTCAACCATTTGCAAATCTCAACTCGTCAGATCTATCTACCGAAACAGTAAGCTCTCCTCGATATTCAGATCTGATACATACTCTGCTTCGTCTGTTTTTTTAAATAGGGTTTGTATCTGTAATTAATTTTGAGTCCAATCTTGTTGTTTCAGACAAAACAAAAGATGAGTTTCGAGGAGATTTTGGAGAACGCGTCGACTAAGAACAAGACAGTGATTATAACGACACTGAACCAAGCTTGGGCAGAACCAAAATCTATATTTGATCTCTTCTTAGAGAGTTTTCGTATTGGGCAAGGAACACAGGAGCTTCTGAAACATGTAGTCGTCATTTGCTTGGATCCCAAGGCGTTTGAACGATGTTCACAGCTTCATTCTAATTGCTACCAAATTGAAACCTCAGGAACTGATTTCTCTGGCGATAAAGCTTACAACACTCCTGATTACGTCAAGATGATGTGGCGCAGAATCGAGCTTCTTACACAAGTTCTCGAAATGGGCTTTAACTTCATTTTCACGGTATGAATCTATGTTCTTAATTCTCCATAACTGTGTTAATCGTGTTCAAGATATGGAATCAATGACTGTTTTTTTTAAGAAAAATATATAGAATCAATGATTTATAACTAATATATTACAGAATAATAAATTAGCATACTAGTCAAAGACTTACAGGGTCAGTATTGTAACTTAATTGACTAGCTAAGGATCGGTCCGAAATTTAAAGACTGAAAGAGATGATTTTCTTATGTTTTAGTCTCCGGTGTAAGGTTGGAATATGGGGTCAGAATTTTTTAGTCAAAAAAAAAGTATAATGGTTTTACAAATATGCAATTTTTTCGCAAATAACATTTAGCCAACTTTTCGCAAACCGCCAATTTCTTCTTCTTCATTTATGCGTTTCGCAAACTTTTGTTTTTTTTTCCGCCAAAACACTATTTCTTTTTGTTGCAAACATGAAAAATGTAAAAATCATTCAATAACAAAAGTTTTTTTAAAAACCGCCAAATTATAAGTCTTGTGTTGATAGTTATTAATTTATTGTAGTTACACTTACACCATAAATCAGTATTTTACCGTTTGTTAAATTCCGCTATTCTATTCTCAAAGTTATTTTACTTACACTAATGCCAAAACTTTTTATTATATACTTGCATAGTTTTAAAGTTAAGTCAACTTTTCTTTGTTCGATAAATTCCGCCTACATTTTCTTATTTTCCATGCTTTTATAGTGTTATCAATCTTAGCCAATCATTTATCAATATACTTGTGTATGCAATTGTAAATCTAGGACGCAGATGTAATGTGGCTAAGAGATCCATTTCCTCGGCTATATCCAGATGGAGATTTTCAAATGGCGTGTGATAAATTCTTCGGAAATCCTATCGGTTTAGACAATTGGGCCAATGGAGGTTTCGTATACGTGAGATCTAACAATCGGAGTATTGAGTTCTACAAATTCTGGTACAAATCTCGTTTGAATCATCCAGGGTTACATGATCAAGATGTGTTCAACAAAATCAAGTATGACCCTTTTATCTCTGAGATTGGAATCCAAATAAGATTCTTTGATACGGTCTACTTTTGTGGGTTTTGTCAACCGAGCACCGACATCAACGTGATTTGCACAATGCATGGTAATTGCTGCCTTGGTTTGGAGAAGAAGCTTTATGATATAAATCTTCTTCTTGATGATTGGAAAAAGTATCTGTCTTTGTCGAAATATGTACAGAACACGACTTGGAGTGTTCCCATGAAGTGTTTGAATAGATCATGAGGATTTATATAGATTTGGATGAAAAGTAATAAGAATTTTTGAAATTTGGTAAATGTGATCTTTGTTGGAGACATTTTTTTGGAGTCATTTGTTATAATATCTACTTTAGCAATTTTATTGTGAAAGAAGGATTTTTCTTTTAAAAAAATTGTAATAAGGATCCACTAGTACATTTTTAATCTGTCGTTAATCTATTATTAATGTATTTATTTAATATAATTTCAATTGTATGACCAATTAATCTTCTACTCGTTTATATTTAATTTATCATTAGCCTGCATGAGAAAATAAACAAAAACCTAATGCTAGTAATTACAAAATATTTCTTAAAACAGTCATTTATACAATGAATCTTTCAGAATGGGCTATGTTTCCCATTATTTTCTTGTTATGTGTCATTTTTTTTTTCTGACATTAGATATACAACTCACTTGGCTATGCAGATTCAAGTGAAACTGAGATCAGAAGCAACAAACTTTACACTAATCTAAGTTTTTAATAGACATATAAAATCATCAATGGGTAATCAAAATCTAAATGTGTCCAAAACATTGACACAGTTAAAACATCACGATATACCATCCCACTTAAATTCTAGGCCTAACTACATTTTAAAAAGCAAAATTTTAAGTTGATCACAAAAAAAAGATTACTACACTAATGTTCTAAATAAACACTTTTACAAATTTCACTTGCAAATGAGACATTTTTTTACTATGAGTTTGAATGGTATATCAATTTAATAACAGAGTAGCAGAACAGGTGAACATTAAATTAGCGAAATCAATAGGATATGATGGATAAACTGAAAACTAAATAAATTCAAAATGCTAAAAATCTAGTATCTATTAGATAAATAGATTTTTCTCTAAATTAGTAATAAATTTAAAACGTGCGAGATATATTGAAAAATAACATGTTAATTTTCACTTTTTATTATTTGGTACTTAATATGTTTATGATATGCATTTAGTTTTAATCCAAAACTAACCGGCATGTACATACAAAAATTATGGATATAAAACTTACCGTGAAGTAATGGATATAAAACTTACCGTGGAATAATTAATAATAATATTTTTTTCTGAAGAAAAGTGATCATTAAGATGAAGAATCCAGTGGCCCAGTGAGCAAGTCTGATATATCCATATTGGCGACGCTCCATACTTCCTCCTGTTTGTGGAATGCTAATTGATTAGATGATTTAGTGACATATTGGCTCATGTAACGTGTTTTTTTTTAACCTTCAAAGCAAGATCTTAGTTCAGCCGTGATACGTACTTGACTAAATCATCAAATCAATCATGCGTACCATTCAATTATTATGTTGCGTTATTTAAGATCGGTCATTGCCAAAACAGATATGAACTGTGTTGATGTTGTATTCATCAGTCGTGAGTTATATACACGAACAAGAGAGTAACTTTAGGAGAAGATTACATCAATTACACCAATCAAGCTTAATCTACGCATGTCATTCATCTGTCATCATTATATGATCGTAATTAGTCAATCAGAATATTTCAAGATATGTATATTTTCTTATATTCCCCCTCAAGCTGGAGCATGTAGATCGTGAATGTCCAGCTTGCCAATCAAGTACTCAAATTGCTGTCGCCCAAGTGTTTTGGTTAGGATGTCTGCAACTTGCTCTGTTGTATTGACATACTTTGTCGCAATGATCTTGGCTTCTACTCAGTCTCGAACATAATAGCAATTTACTTCAATATGTTTTGTTCTCTCGAGGAACACCGGATTGTTGGCAATGTGGAGTGCCGCTTGGTTATCACAGAAGAATGGTACTTGTGCCGTTTGTGTAATGCCCAATGTCTTCAACAGAGAGATTACCTATGTGAGCCTCGCCATACGTCATAGCCATAGCGCGGTATTCTGCTTCAGCTGAAGACCGAGACACCGTTTGTTGCTTCTTCGTTCGCCAAGAGACCACCGAATTTCCAAGCATAACAGCGTAACCAGTTAATGATCTCTGCGTGATCGGACACAAAGCCCAATCGGAGTCGCAAAAAGCTGTAAGAGAGAGATCACTGTTTGCACTAAGAAGTATTCCACGTCCGGGGCATCCCTTAAGGTAGCGAACAACTCGCAGTGCTGCTTCCCAATGTCGTGTGCAAGGTGTTTGTATAAATTGAGCTAATGTATGAACAGCGTAACTTAGCTCGGGTCGTGTAATCACCAGATACACTAATCTTCCCACAAGACATCTATATTTCTCAGGATGAGGATAAAACGCTCCAATATCCTTGGCTAAATTATGATTCTGCTTGATAGGAAACGTCACTGGTTGAGCGCCAAGTAATCCATATTCTATAAATACATCTAGTGCATATTTACGTTGACAAACATAAATACCTTGCTTCCCCCGAGAGACTTCCAAACCCAGAAAATACTTCATTGGACCAAGGTCTTTCATGTGGAAGCCATCACTCAAATAAGCTTTAAACTTCGAAGTAAGTGTAGGATCACTGCCACCAATCACTAAATCATCGACATAAACCAGAACGTATAATACTGCACCGTTCTTTGAATACGTGAAGAGAGAGTAGTCAGCCTTGTCATGTGTGAATCCAAACTCCAGCAGCGCGTTGGAGAGCTTGGCAAACCAACATCGAGGGGCTTGTCGCAAGCCATACAATGATTTGCGTAGCTTGTAAACCTGATTTGGTTTCGAAGCTTTGAATCCGGGTGGTAGACGCATATATACTTCCTCCTCTAAATCACCGTGCAGAAAAGCGCTATGTACATCTATTTGATGAAGTTCCCATCCTTTTGGAGCAGCAACTCTCATGAGGATACGGATTGTTGTCATCTTCACAATCAGAGCAAATGTCTTTGTAAAATCCAGGCTTTCTTTCTGTCTATTCTCCAAAGCAACAAGTCTTGCTTTGTAACGCTCAATAGTCCCATCTGAATTGTATTTAATCTTGTATACCTATTTGCACCCGATTACATGTTTCCCAGGTGGAAGAGTTGTAATATCCCACGCGTGACTGAATTCCAAGGCAACAATTTCAGTCCCCATTGCATTATTCCATCGAGGATCACGAGCTGCTTTCAAGTATGATTTCGACTCAACGTGAACGGTCACCGATGCTAAGAACGCGTGATGAGAGGGGGAGAATCGTTGACATGAGACACAATCAGTTAGTGGATAGAGACACTTACTTGAAGACTGTTGATTTGAGTTGGAAGGAGCGTGATGGGTTGTGCCGAGTTGTTGAGTGGAGTATGTGACAAAATGTTTGAGCAATACAGATTTCTGTTTGTCGCGTTTGCCACGACCCAGGTGATCCGAATGAGATACCTCATGCTTAGGCGATATTGCAGAATTAATAGCTTTCGTGGGTTCTGCATCAAAAGCTGCCGTACGATCAGAATCCAGAGGTTCAGTAGAATTAGAAGCAAGGGGTTCTGTAGGTTCAGACCCAGAAGGCGCTGTGTCTCCCCTTGTCGCTATTGGTTATGTGGAACCCTCTGCTTCTGCGGGTTCATACGAGTTCTCCATTGCGACAGGTTCATTGGATTCAAAGAAGGAGGCATGCATTTTGTTGCCCGCAACAGAGTCCATACTCTGTTTCTTTCTGGGATCTGTAGCAAACGGGAAAATGTCTTCTTGGAAAATAACATCACGAGAGAAAAATTTCACCTTATGTTCAAGGTCATAGATTATCCATCCTTTTTTGCCCAGCTCGTATCCTAAAAACACACAACGGATGCTTCTAGACTGGAATTTATCTTTGTCGCGTTGTACTCGGCGTGCTAATAGAGAGAGCCAAACACCTTGAGTTGCGAGTAATCTGGTGGTGAATCTGAGAGAAGTTCAACTGGTGTCTTCCCGCCAAGAAACACTGAAGGAGTACGATTAATAAGATAAGTTGCTGCTAAAATCGCTTCACCCCATAACCGTACTGGCAAGTGAGCTTGAAACAACAATGCCCTTGTAACGTTGATGATATGTCGATGTTTGCGCTCCACTCGCCATTCTGTTGAGGAGTTGCTACACATGACGTTTGATGGATAATGCCTAGATCCATGAAATACGTCCGTAAGCAGGTGAACTCTGTGCCGTTATCACTTTGAACAATTTTGACTTGTTTGCCATATTGTCGATCCACGAATTCTATAAAGTTCTTTAGTATTTTCAGAACTTCCGATTTTTCCATGAGAAGAATAGTCCAAACTGCTCTAGAGTAGCCATCAATGATCGTTAGAAAGTAGTATGCCCCAGACATAGATCGTGTACGGTAGGGACCCCAAAGATCGCAATGAATCAGTAAAAAAGAAACTTCAGCTTTATTCAAACTTTCATTAAACTTGTCACGTGTTTGTTTTGCTCTAATGCAGACATCACAAGAACTCTCCAAAACACCAACTTTATTCTTAAAATCACCAACACCCGATAGAAAAGATAGTACTTTGGACGACGAATGTCCCATTCTGCGATGCCACAAATCTCGACACTGTAGTTTTGTAGCATTCCCAGCTTGAACATCAATCGTTCCTGTGTAATGGTAAACCCCATCACGCTCCTCATCCGCACCAATCAAAGTCTTCGAAGTTTGGTCCTGTATCACACAAAACCGTTTTGTAAATGAAACGAAACCAGCAACATCTCCAGTAATTGTGCGTCTGAGATGAGAGTAATGTCAAGATTCGGTGCAAGAAAAACATTGTGTAAAACAAGTTTTCCTCCAAGATTCAATGTGCCATGCCTAGTTGCCCATGTAACTCCTCCATCGGGTAACTTCATAGGACATGGTGGTATTGGAACAACATCCTTTAAAAGATGAATATCTCCTGTCATATGATGAGATGCTCCAGAATCGATAATGACATCAAATCGGCTTTGATAACCCATAATGAGAAGTTTTTCACTCTTACTAGATAATTTCTCATTGGTACCGGATTTCTGAGAGTTCATGAATTGAGCCAGCGACTGCCATTGTTCAGCTGTGAAATTCGGAATCCCAGATGCACCTTCTGCAGCAGTTTGTGCATGATTGGCACGCTGCATAGTCCCTCGTCCTCTACCACGACCAGAAACATCAGCGCCTTTGCTTCGCCCTGCACCACTTCCTTTGGATTTATCGTTCCACCATTCTGGAAATCCATAAAGTTGAAAGCAAGTGCTCACTTCATGTCCAGTCTTGTTGCAATGAGTGCATCACAAGTGTTTGTTGTTGGAAGTGCGAATAGCAGCCGCCATTGGTGATGCCGAGGATGAGAATCCAACGGTAGTGCTACGTTCTTCCACCACACGAGTAGCGCTCAAATGTCGCTCCTGTTGGACGATCTGAGAGTATACTTTGTCGAGGTTGAGCACTGATTCAAGGCTGAGAAGATTTGAACGTGTTGTCCCAAAGCGTACACCATCAAGTCCCATAAGAAATTGATGCACACAAATTTTCTCACAATGCTCCTCATACTTCACCATGGCAGGACACGATCCATCGCCACAGCAACACTGAAATCCAGTCTCGAGATCGGCCAAATCATCCCATAGTATCTTCAATTTTCCAAAATATGAATCCACCGGTTGACCATCTTGTCTACATGCTAACAAATCGGCCCTCAATTGATGATTATGAGTACCATCGCTAACAGAGAATCTCCTCTGCAAACCATCCCACATGAGCTTTGCACTGTCTACAAGAGAGACAGATGATCGCAACTTCGGCTCAATGCTGCTGTATATCCAGCCAATAATCATAGAATTGACCATGTCCCATTGCTCAGCTTCCACCGAGTTTGCAGACGGTCTTTTCAAAGTCCCATCGAGAAAGCATACTTTCCTCTTGGTTCCTAGCGAGTTTCACCCATCTCTCGTAGTTATCACCATTCAACATAATCGGTGTTTGTGCTTGACTTGTGTTGTCAGACGGATTCAAATAGTAAGGAGAGACAAGTGTTGCCTCAGATGACGTCGCAACTCCCGTAAATCCCATTGGTTTGTTTATAAGAGGATCGAACAAAGGAAATAAAAAAGCGATATAAGAGAAAAAAAAATTTAATTGTTTTTGTTTTCCTACTCTGCTACCACACCAAAACAGATATGAACTGTGTTGATGTTGTAATCATTAGTCGTGAGTTATATACACAAACAAGAGAGTAACTTTAGGAGAGAGGATTACATCAATTACACCAATCAAGCTTATTATACGCATGTCATTCATCTGTCATCATTATATGATCGTAACTAGTCAATCAGAATATTCCCAGATATGTATATTTCCTTATAGTCATCCAATCTTAAAATATGATTATCGATGTAGAATATCGGATTATCATACGTATATGCATCAAAATGATTGAAACTCGAATTCAAATACCATAGAGACAAGTATCCTTTAAGCTTAACTTTAGATTCATATTTATATAGAACTACGCATGCACGCAAACAAATACAAAAGGCCACTTACTTTATTCCACCTACGTACCATCTAAGATACGTTCATATTATCATATCATATTATTAAAACAAGCTGCTTAAAGTGGCCATACGTTATACGGTAACATGTTCATGGTTTAGCTCCCTTTTTCAGGGTCGGCTCTGAGCCCAAACCCGAGAAGCCTCCTCTTCCATAGGCGATTTCTCTGCGACTTGGCTGTGGCTTCGTTTCCCCACACTGTTAGTTTCCTCGTTAGCGTAACGACAGCAGCGGAGGCAGCCGTTGCGTCCCGCATAGCAGCAACCGTGCCTGCACCAACCTGTGTATCCTCCACCCCATTGTTCTGGCTCTTTCACACCGGTATCAATATCATTGGGGTTCACCATTTCAGCTGTTTATATATATAATATGTATATAAGCATCAGACTGTACACTAATGACTAAATGTATGAGACAAAGAACATAGATGTAACTAGACTAACCATGAAAATGTATTAAAAAACCAAGATGATTTACATATTATATATCTATTGATATTACGAGAGGGTATATAAAGATGAACTGGATATATACACTTACTTTGTTCCCAAGGTTTGCTCCCAAAGGGGGCTGAATTAGCAAGAGCTAAGCAGGTAAAGAACAATGCCAAGACAACAATAAACTTGGAGCTTGCCATGTTTTTTTTTCTGTTTTTTTTTTCTCCAGTTAAACGAGCACACTCTGGTTTAATTAGTCTTATAAGTATATAGAAGAAAGGAGGTTTTGGTGTGAAGGATGTGTAAGCTGAGCATGTATTTATAGTGAATATGGCGACAAGAGACGGTAAATCTAGTCATGAAAACTATTATTACGAGAAGATTTATATATATATAGATATATATATATATCATACATGATCATATTATGCATTAAATAGCCAATAGAACCATAATCGGACAAAATACATTTGTGATTTTTGGATCGTATATGTACTTAATACTGGAAGAATGTTATAGCTATATAGAGATAATTTACAATGTATAATTAGTTTAGTTTTTTTTTTTTTGCTTTTTGTATTATTACAACAATCAAAATTTGGTCCATATTTTTTTCGAACAGAAAAAAAAATTAGATAAATTAGTTTTTTTTACCAGCAATTAAATTTGAACTTGAAACTTGAGAATATTTTCTATTTATGCTTGTTTTATGAATTTATGTTACCATATACTCCTATTAATTAAGATATTACATTGTAACAGTTAATACTGGTCGATAATAAAAAAACATTAAAGCTGCGATTTGGATTAACTATATCATTGTAATAATTTGCCGTGGTGGAGATACTGTTCCTCGTCAAACTATTGGTGGAGATACTCATCATCAAGTGTTTTGTGAACCTAGACCCGACCGGCGACCGGTTTCGAGTTTCTTTGTCCTGAAGACTTTTCTAAAGCCATAGGAAAATATAAATTAAAAACTATAAAAAGCTATTGAAAATATTGCTCAATCGAAATTTGTCACGCTTAAGTAAGTGTTCTTGATACAATCTACTTGGCAACCGGCACCACCAGTAATGTTAGAGAAACTGTTTCGAAAATAGTTCAGTGATACTTTTACCCCACATTATTTTAATTAACTTTAATCACGCATTTAGATTACGGTCCAACTCAAACGTATTGAAGATTTGAGTGCTGTGATGAGTGCTTTTATTAAGTAAATATAATTTGATTTCGGAACATGAGTTTTATTCTCATTCATCACTGCATCAACATTCTTTTAATATTTTAGTAGATGATAAACAGAAAATATAAATAGTTTACCAACCATATTAATTTAGACAGTACATCAAAGATAAAGCATAGAATTTCAGCCAACTCCGATAGAATTGTTGGAAATTAATGGGCTTAACTTTAGTATTGGGGTTTTTGCCACTTAGTAAACCAAAGCAAAAACGGCTGCGTTTACCTCTGCATGTCGTTGCGATTGAAGGCGGTTATTTTGTTTAAGCTTTGACGGCTTGTTCAAACGGTTTAATGGCAACTATGGTCAGATATAAGCATAGCTAATCGCTCTTGGTAATTACACATTCAGTCACTTTCTTGTTAGCGTTTTTCTGGTGTTAAAGAAAAATATCCGGATTCATCCAACCCTAACTGATATAAATGTGGTGGGTTCAAGCAAAAAAAGTGTCGAGTAGGTGAAGCGATTAATATTATGTGGTCAAAGCAAGGATTTGAGTCTTAAGTTTAATACACTGGATTTCTAGTTATTCCATCCAACTTTTTTTATTAATAACAAATGATTATTTTTTTTTTGATATAAATTTTGGGATAATTTTTGAAAAAATTCATTTGACAATTTTATTCCAGACTTTCGATAAGATAGGTTTACTAGTTTGCTTTCAATCTGCTATTAGCTTGACAGTAATTTGCAATTAGTCTATCATTAGTCTGCGAGTAGTCTACATTCAACTATTTGACCAATCAGTCTATCACTAGTCAGTATTCGGTCTGTCATTAGTCTATTATTAGTGTACAAATAACAGTAGTTAAAAGAGTAGTGCTGGTATTTATAAAAATTGTAAAAAGAGATCATTTTCACAATTTTCCCTCAATGGAGGTACCCATTTCATAGAATTTTATTATTCTGTAACATTTTGGAGCATTTTCTCTAAATCAAATTTTGTTAGTCTCAATTAGATCACTGAATAAAAGAAAAATAGAAAGATGGGAAATAGAACAGTTTTTTCCTGATTTAATGTAAAAGCAATTGTATGAATGAACAAGTACTGGATAATATAGTTTGAAGATGCAGCTGAGATGGAGTGAGCAACGCATACACGTGAGGAGAGCAAAGACTTGGAAAGCTCTGTACACGGAAGAGAAGATGACGTGCTAAGGAGGCTTTCTCAAGGCCCTTTCGTATATTTCAGTATATGCGAAAGGTGGAGAGAAAAAGAAACTAAAGCTTAGAATTAGGAAACTTAGGTTTTTCTTATTCTAGGGTTTTAGTATATAAGGGGTTAAAGGTAGAAGTAAAGAGGTTAACACTTCTAACCTGAGCAAGAGATTATACGGCACCTAAAGCCTTGAGCAAATCAGAAGAAGAAGCTTTGAGGTTAGTGTTAGAGTTGTGTAAATCCAAACTAAGTGTAATCGTGATAAGATTAACTTATTGATTCAAGTGAATAAAATCATTCGTCTTGGTGCTGTCCAAGACACATAAATCTGCGTTGTTTTGTCTTATGTTCTTTTAATTGGTATCAGAGCAGACATCTGTTAAAGAATGTTTATTCTTTCAAATCAGGTGTGATCTGGGAAGAGGATGGAAAAAATGCAACAAGTGGTTTTAATGAGATCATTGACACTCGAGAAAGAAAACTTTGGTTGGTGGAAAGTTCAAGTCCAAGCTCTCATCAAGGGGATAGATGAAGATGCATGGACCATGGTTGAGGAGGGATGGACACCTCCAAGCATTGTTGATGCAGATGGAAACGACTATCCAAAGCCAAAACTGCAATTGACAGTCGAGGAGAAGAACATGTCAAAGTTCAACTCCAGAGCGATGACAGTCATTTGAAACTCTCTCACCAAAGACCAGTTTCAACAGGTTCAGGGCTGTACAACTGCTAAATAAATTTGGGACTATCTAACAACAGCGTATGAAGGGACCAACTCAGTCAAAAGAACCAGGATTGACATGTTGGCTTCACAGTTTGAAACGATCACTATGGGAGAAGATGAGACGGTCGAGTCATTCAGTGGGAAGTTGAAATCGATTGCCAATGAGTCGCTGATTCTGGGTAAAAAGTACAAGGATAAGAAACTCATGAAAAAGTTCATGAGCTGTCTGCCAGACAAATTTCAAGGACACAGATCAGCTCTTGAAGTGTCACAGAATTCTGACGAGATGAAGCACAACCATGTTGTAGGGATGATGCAAGCACATGAACTGGATTTGAAATCCAAGAGGATTGGAAAGTCTAAGGAAATTGCTTTCACTGCATAGGAGGCCACTGTATCTGATGATCTGAATGATAAATTTGGTCTGATGGTCAAAAAATACTTCAAACGGTTTGACAAAGAACAGAGGAGATTTGGGTTAACAACATAAGTTTGAGAAACATTCCAGGAAGACAGAGGTTCGGTGTCATGAATGTGAGGGGTATCGACACATTCGTTCTGAGTGTCCTACAATCAAGAGGAGGAAAACTCTTAGATGCACCGAATGCAAATGTATGGGACATTCGAAGTTTGAGTGTGTTGGAACAAACCGGAACAAGGAAAATTCATATGTGTGTGTTGACTCTGACTCTGAAGATAGTCATGAAGATGAAGTAAACCTGCTGGCCTATCTCGGCATTATCAATGAGGATGTTGAATCTGATAGAGGAACGGATAACGAAGCTGATGATTTTTCAATCATGTCTGAGGAAAACAAAGCTCTGTGTGAGACAGTGATTGAGCTTCAAGCCAATAGAGATCTGTTAAACAAGGAAAAGGATGCTCTACAAAAATTTTGTCATGAACTGAATATCAAGCTCAAAATAGAAACTGATGGTAACCAGTTGCTTCGTGACTCAAATGCAGCTTTGACTGAAGCTCTTGAAAAGGAAAGGCAGATGATCAGAGAACTGGAAGGAAAACTGAGTGACCAACTTCAAAATATCAAGATGCTGACAAAGGGAACATATGGACTAGACAAAGTTTTGTCAATGGGGCGCACAGGCAAGGAGTGATTTGGTCTTGGTTTTCAGTACGGCAGCACATCTAACAGGCAGACTAAGTTTGTCAAGGGAAACTCAGATTCTCAAGGCTCTGACATGGATAGTCTGAGACCTAGACCACATATATCTGGTCAGCATCTTAACTCTAATGCGCATTACAGGCCTGTGAGTCGAGGAAAGCAGATGCATGCGTATGCCAAATGTCCTTACTACAACATAAGTGGTCGGAAGACCTATGATATGTCTCGATGTTATTTCTGTGGAAGGACTTTCTTAAACAAAAAAGATCTGTGATCCGACCTAGTCAACACGGCTTTGAGAATCGAAGACCACAACAGATGTGAGTTGAAAAGGAAAATCAACATAGTTATATTGCGTACACGGTTGATGCACTGAAGTCTGAGTAGAAGACATGGTACTTCGGCAGTGGATGTTCTAGGCACATGACAGGAAGTCACCAAAATGTCAAAGTGCTTGAAGATATTGTTACTGGAAAGGTCACGTTTGGAGGAGGAGCACGAGGTAAGATTAGAGGTAGAAGAGACACATCAGGTCCAAATCAATCGCATCTGGCTAACGTGTATCTGGTGGGGGTCTCAAAGAAAATCTTCTCAGTGTCAATCAGTTATGTGATGTAGGGATGTCGGTAACATTCACCAGTACCGATTGCCAAGCTTACGATCAACAAGGTGTGGTCAAAATGCAAGGAAAGCGATCCGGCAACAATTGTTATATGTGGAAACCAGACAAAGTGTGCTTGGCTGTAACTAAAGCTAGTGATCTTGAGATGTGGCATCAGAAACTTGGGCATATAAATGTTCATACAATGATTAAGCTGAGTAATCAAGAAGTGATTACGGGAATGTCCAAACTAAAGCTGCAACAGGATTTTGTCTGTGGACCATGCACTAAGGGAATACAGGTTAAAGTTCATCACAAGGGTATACAAGAAATACAGTCAAAGCAGCCGC